TATTGATTCCCTGGGATCATTTTAACGTAGATGTGTTTGACAGAGATATCGGATAATTCTGCTGCCCATTCGTAATGATGAAAGAATCTTTACAATAATATATCAGAATTACTAAAACCGTGTATGTCAGGAACTAACCCGGGGCCCTGTGTGTCAATCCGAGATCCTTGTGTGTCTGGTACTCGTTACTCGGAGAACTATGGTTGGTTTGTAGTTTAACTCCGTACTCAGAAATAATCCAGCTTTACGGCGGCGGTCTGTAAATAATTGAGTCTGGACCAGACAATCCAATGATCAACATCATGAGCATCGTTCTCCGCAAATGGGATACGATGACATGTGTCAACCAAGTCAGCGAGCCTGACCACCCAATCCCGTTAGTCGCCTCTACGACAAGCATGGGTTGCTGAAGATCAATTATAACCCTGATCCTCACGGGTTCAGGGAACTATGCCTCCCAGGACAACACATCGTTCATTCAGAGATTTCAAATCGCAATAATTCCCTCCTATTGTAACCGCTGAATTGAGGGTCAAACCACTGCATCATCACATCACTGCACTTTTATATACTATGCTACTAAACATTGGCTTACCTATGTGTAACGGCTATAATCGATGTTTCTTTCTTTCAGATCAACTTCCAATTCACTGGACCACTTGACTTAACAGCTTAATATCTAACACGTACCAGTTCGCATTTCATTTGAAATTGGTGGTACAACTACTTCGTACGCCAACATAGCATAGCTTACCGGTAGCACAGCCGCTTCGTAAGCCACCATGACATAGGTTACCAGTGGCACAAGTGCTTCGTAAGCCGACATTACATAGCTTACCGGTAGCACAACCGCTTCGTAAGCCAACATGACATATACTCAGCAGCGAAAAAAAAACATCAGTACGAATTCAAAATTAGATAGGCACTGTAATCAAATCATTACTGAAATGGACATAATAAGCGGATCAAAAACATTTCTGTGTACAATATCTTGACACATCAATGAATAACTCATTTCAAGACATTACGTGAACGTTTGCAGTCCATTCAGACTCTTGACTTCAGTATCTAGTGTGACCATCACGAACGGCAATAATTGCAGCACAGCGTCTATGCATAGAGTGCACCAATCGATTGATGAAGGCCATGGGCACCTGGAACCACACTCTGAGAAAGGCCAGGCGTAATAAATCGGCTGTGTTCGGCCTTGGTATGACATTATTCAGTTAGTCTCCTCTGAATTTCATCCCAAAGACTAAGGACTGGCCACTGCATAATGTTGACACCGTACAGCTGTAGGAAGTCCCGTGTAGCTCTGGCAGTATGGGCCCGGGCGTTAACATGTTGGAAAACGTTGTTCCGGTGACGTGCGAAATGTGGTATGACGTGGGGTCTGAGACCCTGGTCGATGTAGCGCACCGCTGTTATGCCGCCTCCTCTCCCTGGACCAAGGTTCTGGAACACCACAGGACCGACTCTCTGGTTCAGGCCTATTCCACCCCATACCATGATGCTTGCATCTCCCCATGAGTCTCTTTCCATAACACATTGGTCTGAGTAACGCTGGCCATGTCGTCGCCATATTCTTGTTCTGCCATCTGCAGTTGATACGCAGTACCGACATCTGTGAACAGAACTCCATTGCCTGTATCGCCAGTTTTGGTGTTGTAGGGCAAACTGTAGACGTTCACGCCGATGACGAAGGGTGAGGATAGGTCCACGCTAAGGTCTACGGCAATGGAGGTTCCCAAGGTTAAGACGTCGGCGTACTGTATCAGTACTGATGGATCTTCCGTGTGTTCCCACTGTCTGGCGTGCTGTTTCGGATGCCTGCATGAAGGGAATCTGTACATGCTGTCGCACAACATGGCGGTCTTGTCGTCTTGTGGTCACCCTTGGTCTGCCAGAACGGGGGCGATCATTTGTGGTGTTGGTAGCCCGGAAACGTTGGTGCAGCCTGTAGATGGTCCGAACGTTGACCTGGAAGTGATTGGCAACGGCTTGTGAAGTGTGGCCAGCTTCAAGTCTTCCTAGCGCCTGGTTCCTCTGAGCTGTCGTGAGTCGCGGGATCCTGCTGAACTTGTAATATGAATGTTTCAACCAGGTTTAGGGTGCCTTTTATACGGCTGGTCCTTGTGAACAGCACGTGCAGCATGAGTTGCATGACAAACATGGAGAACACCGTACCATCTCCGATATCAGGTTGCGTTTTTTAGACCATTTCCTGGATTCCATTCTGAGTTTGTGAAGTAATGCCTTTGCTCAGGTAAAGTTGGAGATGTTGTCAAAAATATACAATCAAAACATTAAATGAGTTTACAGTTATCCGTTTCTGCGAAGGAAAATTCCAAACTGACGTTTCTTTTGCTGCTTAGTATAGTATAGCAGTAGCACAGCTGCTTCGTACGGCAACATAACATAGCTTACCGGTAGCACAGCTGCTTCGTAAGCCACAATGATATAGCTTACCCATAGTACAGCTACTTAGTAAGCCACCATGACATATAGTTTACCATTAGCACATCTGCTTCGTAAGCCAACCTGACATAACTTACCGGTAGTACAGCTGCTTCGTAAGTCATCATGAAATGTGCATCGCCTGAACGATTGGAATAGCCTTGCTTGGTTCCGTTCAACACTAATGAGGCGTCTGAAGCATAACATAAAACATTACAGTAGGCAAAAAAAAAAACATCGCCAATTTTGAAATTCAAATTTCAAATGCCTGACAACAATGGTTAACAATGCATAGACTTGTCCATAAATATTTACTTCGCGGAGACCGCCGTCAGACCTTCTGTTTGGGATGGTTGATTTCACACCTCATAACGGTCACGCTAGCCTGTACTCACTGTCGGCGAATAAATGCAACGTGTTCTTTACTGAAGAGTACAAAGGCGTTTTAAAATAGGTTAATGATTAATATGCAACTTTACCTTCTCATATGTCAGTACGGTTGGAGAAACGTAAACCTTGTGATATGAGATACGATTCAATATGAGATTTCATTATTATCAATCTCCTCGGGTAAACGTTGCTTTCACTTTGACCGCTATATTCAGTTTCAGTAATCCTAGTGTATATAATCGTAAAAGTTTAATCACACGAATGGCATTAAAGTCGATTTCTGTAGTAATACCAGTTTATCGGTGTGTTTGTTCATTAGCATCTCTGTGTTTAAATTAGCCATTTCAAACAGACACGCGTTGGATGTGTTCTCAGACATTCAAGGCGCTTACAATGATGATAGATGGAAATATTATAAAAGATAAAAAAAATATCACGTATTTTAAAACTCGCCTCATTTCTAAAGTTATATACTATCGTTGCTGAAAAAAGTCTTATTCGGGATGCCATATTTTCCTGAATCAACGATCATCCTGCGTTCAGAACGAATATCCTTTTATGTTTGTTTCTTGTTTATCGTCTGTTTTCTGTTTTTGTTTATCGTCTGTTTTCTGTTATTGTTTAGTGTCTGTTGTTTGTTGTTGTGGGTTCTATGGATGATCAAGTCAGAACCAGACAATCCAGTGACTGACATAATTATCATATGATACGCGCTGGGTTACAATGACATGCGTCAGTGTCAGTAAGCCTGTGACAAACCGATCCCGTCAGTCGCCCCTGACGACCTGCATGGGTTGCTGAAGACCATTTGTACTCGCGATCCTCATCCGTCGATATCAACAAAAGGATACCATAAACATATTGTTTATATTAACTAAAGTTCAATTTATAACAACAGACTTGCAACCTACCGCCATTGACACGATCAACGATTCTCTGCAAAATGTTGGTTTTCAGGTTTCAACAAACTTTAAATTTTAAGACGCCACAGAAGTAGTCGCCACCAATACAAAGCTCCTACAAGCATCGACAAGCGGATTCTGGCATGCGTAAGGGACACAACTCTACAATGAGACTACGTTAGACGACTGGGCCACCCGTCCTAACACACCTCCCCCGGCTGTTTGTAACTATCAAGAATATCGATATGGTCACAAGAAGGATGATGCTTCGGAAGATATAGGACAGTGTAATTGTTAAAGATTCTTGCCTGTGGATATAATACTGATCCGATCCATAGCGGTTTGTAACGGTGCCACACATAATCCCCGCCCTGGTAATGGCACCTAGTTGTCAGCACCATACCCGCGATCGTTGGTATGTTGTAACAAATGACCTTCAAAGTGGTAGACATGATAGTCAATGCCAGAAACAACCAGTCTCGCCTATCAGACGAATCAGAATCCATTCGTCGTGGACGGACAAAATAACAGTGAAGGTTATATGAACCGCCACTTAAGTGATGACACCAGGTGTTGGCCACCACTTGTTTCATTTCTCCTACATTCAACTGACACTCGGTGTGATAACTTAGATTCAATTCAAAGTGGCGTCAGTCACTCACTAACCCAGCTTACAGTCATTCATATGTAATAGATACAGTACCTCGCCTTGAGCATGTACTAGTTGCTTGGATATATGCGCTATATAAATATCCTATAATAATAATACCTCGGCAAGGTCATATTTTGTAAATACATAAATAAGACCAGCGAAAGGTCATCCAAATCTTTCAAGAACTATATTGACGATTTCAGTTTTTCGTACATCGTCTCGCTAAGAAATGTTATACCAGGGCAGTTGGAAAAGACACCTCGACACACACACACACGTAAATATTGGAACATTCCCTAAACATACTAGGTAATTAAGCAGACACAACAATCCAAAAAGAAAGAAGATACGTTGTGTTTTTCTGTTCATCTGTAATTCAAATTATGCACTGTCTTCTTGTATTATATTTTCATCACCGATACGGTCCGACCCAAGTGTAAATTCTACTCCGTCATCGGCGATGGAATGAACGTTGACACCTCCACGCAATGTGTAGCGACAACACCGACCAGCGTAAACACTTCATGCATACATCAACATATTCAAACACGCCATCGCTATGATAATGAACTCCCACCTACATACATTGGTCACGTGATTGCAAGATACTGTCACTCATGATTTTGCAAGCACTTATTATTTCTCATTCAGTCCCCCCACTCGTTGTAGAATAGACTATATTAAAGGACTGCATTGAGACGAGGTCCTTCTGTGCCCACTGGAAAGCTGCCTCGTCGCTAAGGTAAGATGTTACTCTTCTCTTCAATGCATTCTACTACAACTTTCTCATCAGAGTAATGCAGGTTGCAGCTGATGGATACCCATCACATGCTTTTCTCCCAATTTGTTCTTTATTTTGCTAGTTTTCTTTTTATAGAGCCATTAAAAGTAAACTTTTAGCGGATTATTTTTTATATAGAAATGTTTGATAGGAAAAAATACTTAGATCCAATGTTGCTTTGTGTTTTTGTATATTTACCTGGTGTCCTAATTGATTTTTAGCAGGCAGTTTAGAAATTTTGGCATTTTACGGTTAGTGGAATTTATAGTGGCAGATAATGGAGATATGGATGTTTTATATCTAAGGCCGTATCAGATAATTATTACTTATTGATCAATGTGTAATTTGAGACAATGTTCCCGTCTTAAGCCTTTCATATAGCGTGTTGACTTCTTATTGTAAAAGTAACTTTCCTCAGTGTTTTCATCAGTACGTTTATTGGACAGAAAGTATGAAATGATCACTTAATGTTTGTACAACTCTAGCCTCGTGTCCAGTGACAGCATAAATGCTACTGTATGTAAACACAGTTAACGTTTAAATGTCGATAACACTTGTGGAGTATTTTGGTCGATGTACGTATCATAGCAAAGGTTAAAACAACATATCAACGTCAAAAACGTCACTCTATTGTTATGACCAGCCTATATTCATCCCATCATCATTAATGGACAAGCGCATCATTCCCATAAATATACACTTAAAATAAACTTTTTATATATTGTTACGCCAATGTGAATGATTTTAATTTGGTGGGAAGCATTAGTCGCCAGCAGGACTGGAACCCGCGTCTTATGACTGTAGTAGGTAATAGAGACCTCAGGTAGGGTGACGTATGACAGAATGGTATGGAATTAGCTGATTAGTTTCAAATACCTGTATGATTTTTTTAGCTTAGGGAACATGTATGTAGACTGTTTTGCGATAACGGTGTTAATAGTGAAGTAATTCGGTAGCTCTTGAACGATCAAGAATGAAATTCAGTCCATTGTTCAGGGACATTCAGCATGTTTCCATAACGTGCAAGCGATTGATTAGCAATTATATTAGTTTTGATGGCCACAGAGTTATACCATATATCGATCAGAACAACCTGAGATGCATTTTGACACACGTGTATCCACTGCTGAAAACGTACACAATGTGCCTCACACAGAGTAGACCGCCTCCGTGGTGTAGTGGTTAGAGCGTCCGCCCGGAGAGCGGAAGGTCGTGGGTTCGATCCCCGAACGCGTCATACAAAAAGACGTTAAAATATGGTACTTGTTGGTCCCTGCCTGGCGCTCGGCATTAATGGGTACAACAAGGCTCGAAGTCAGTATAATGTGTCTGAGTGGGGTATTCATGCTTCACTGCGGCATGGTATCTCAGTGAGCTTGCACTATAAAACCAGCTTCAGTCTGGGCTAGTACAAGCAGCCGCACATACACATACACACGCATGCACGTCGTCATATGAGCGAAATATTCTCAAGCACGACGATAAACCCAATTTCACCTCACCTCACCTCACCTCACCTCACCTCACCTCACCTCACCTCACACAGAGTAATACAGGCTACACACATGTCTTCTTTAAGTTTCAAATATTTCCCTCGAAAAAATATTTTCTCAAAATCTGAAATTAGAGATGTTTTATAGTTATGAAGGTCGGCAGGTGTTGGAGAACATACATTCAGTGCAGGCTGCTTGAATCTATCGTATACACGAACTGACATTCATGTCTGTTGGCGAATGTAGGATCTCATTGATAGTCAATAATCCAGTGGGGTCTTTGGGTCGTCTGAATACAACATCACCTACATCCTGACATTCTGTTCTCACGAGACAGCAGGACACAGACTCTTCTCTGTGGAATCTCATTCTGCAACGATTGCACCGTTATTCTCATGATTACGTTGAGCTGAATACAAGACAATTGTATAATAGCAGCATACTGGCGAGACTGGCTACTATATCATGTCCATAATACAATGCTATCATGTAAGTGTATTTAACAAACACAAGCAGCTGATCTTGGGAGTACCTTATTGGTCTTTTCTTTTATTCAGATATACTGTATGATTATTGGATGGAGATTATGATATTGGTTGGTCATTACAAAAATCCTGTTTTCGCTTTCCGCAATAAGCTGGCATGAAGTATAAATAGTGAAATGGTGAGGGAAACAAAGCTCCCCATTAATGCTTTGAGGAATGCTGTAAACAGGGTAACGAGTTTGGACAAAGTAATATATTGTTATTATATATATTATTCTTCAGGAAATAATTATAAGCAAAATATTACCTTAAACTAGTACCAGCACTTGTTCTGAAGTGATTCGACCCGTGAAGGTCCGGGTTAGAATATTGATCTTCAGTAACCCATGCTTGTCGTAAGAGGAGACTAACGGGATCGGGTGGTCAAGCTCGCTGACGTGGGTGACACATGTCCTCGTTTCCCAATTGTGCAGATCGATGTTCATGCTGTTGATCACTGGATTGTCTGGTGAAGACTCGATTATTTACAGACCGCCGCAATATAGCTGGAATATTGCTGAGTGCGGCGTAATACTAAACTCACTCACTCTGAAGTGATTCCTATAGTTCACTAAAACATTTAAATAGTGTTGAAATAATTAATATTATCAATTAAATATTTCAAACACATTTAGAACACGTAAATACTTAAAATTATTTTGTGTTATTTGTAATCGTTTCCATAACATTTGCTACTGGAATGAAACGTAATGTTTGTTAAGTGACGCGCTGCAGGAAACAGTGACATTGTATTGAACGTATTATGTGGATATGAGTGCATTGTCAGCACAATATTGAAGATGACAGTAACGATCATGTGTGATGAATGTGTTCATGTGGCCTCGCTGACAATATTGATAGAGAATCATACCGGCCACGTGACGTCAAGTGTCCAGGGACTCAACATCTCCGTTAAAGCCTATCTTTCTCAAAGCCACATAGGCACGATTAGGAGGGCTCGCTCGTCAGGGTTCGATTCTAACATGGGAACAGTGTGTACCAACTTGCAGACGTACAGCCTGCTTTACTTTGTCGAGTCGTGCTAGGTTGGACTTGGATTTGGGCCTCGTTATTTTCTTTTTAATACATGCGCTGATCACGTTCAGGTTCAATTCTCTTTTGGGGCTCATGTCGTAAGGAGTATTTCTGGTTTGTCCGTAGTGATATTGCGTAAAAACCAACTCATTCATTCATTCATTCATTCATTCATTACTCACTCACTCAAGATGCACATTTAGCTCATCCCCAAATTCATGGAAACAATGTGTACATCCCATCTTTTAATCTCCATCCTTATGATATGGTTGAAATGTTTACACGCACCAGTTTGACGTTTTATTTCATGTTAAGATTTTTAAAAACTCCAAAGTAACATTGAATCGTAAATAATTAAATATGATAAACAAACATAAACACATAACCTCATCATTTGACCTGAAGTTGCACCAGGCGAGTCACTGATGTAGTTCATTAGAAGCCACCTGCTACTGAGCTCGTGTGCCTTCAGTCCCCAGGGCCCATGGTCCGTACACATTTCTAGATACGCAGTGACATGTTGATCCGGAAGTCGCGGCCCCCTTCTCAATTATCCAAATTAACGGTAAACATGGACTAACCAGACGTGGATTTTTGTACTGAACATAATTTGATACTAGTGTGGCTGCTGGCCTTGGTGCAGTAATGAAGTCTTTCTGGGGTAATGAGCTCCACAATACATGTCGAGTGCAAGTCCATGTGTTTATGTGTATCAAGTTTCAGGTGTTTGTTCAGGAAAACACTTGCCTTGCCTTTGCACGTGTTTGTAACGGGTGGAGACAGTTCGGCGGGATACGCTCAGGCAGTATTATCTTTGTTATTGAGTGTTTCATTAACACATTCTTATCATATTGTCGGCCTCATAAGACAATACGTGCTTTTAGCAGGTTCCCTATGATATGGAGAACGTTTGGTCGTCTATATATTTATCCATGTGTGAAAGGGGGACTATAGGTTCTGGCCTATGGACGATCATTAGAAATATGATTAAGATGTGTTAGCAAATTATTGCTTAATGACAAGAAATATCTGCCAAGAGCAGAGTCTTCTCTACGATTCGATTTTCGAGATTGTGTGTATGAATCAGTATCCAAAAGTAATGGTAAACGTGTTCGTGACAGGCTAGAGTATCCTGCTCCACCGTTCCGCAGACTTTATCATGCTTCTGTAAACTAAATGCACATATATCTAGCAGGCCATGATTCCCCGAACACGTGAAGATCCGGTAAGAACTGATCTTCAGTAACCCATGCTTGTCGTAAGAGGCGACTAACGGGATCGGGTGGTCAGGTTCGCTGACTTGGTTGACACATGTCCTCGGTTCCCAATTCCGTAGATCGATACTCATACTGTTGATCACTGGATTGTCTGGTCCAGACTTGATTATTTACAGACATCCACCATATAGCTGGAATATTGCTGATTGTGGCGTAAAACTAAACACAATCACTCACTCATGATTCCCAGGAAGGAGCAGGGTACGCTTACCGTTTTACTAACATCTGTTCTCATCACTGACAGTGATCCATGAAATATATCATATACGAGTAATCATGGTATAGCTGGAATCTTTATGATGATTAATTTCTCATGATTATCGAAATCTGGGTATTTTTTACCTGATTACACTGAAACTATCTTAGGACCTGAATTACAACACTTTGCGAAATGACATCCAGACATAAAGAGCATAGTTCCTCATTCATCCATTTCCTACCGTGTTATATTGTAGTAAATGACCAGGGTGGTGTCATTAACTCACACGTGGAGTCTTAAAGTTACAGTTACATCCACTGATGTGGCGTCTTCAACACGTGACACATTAGAGGCTGTACCGACTTGACACACTGTCGTGTTACACACAATAACCTCATCGCTTTGTCACCGAGCCTGAGGTGTCCGTCACTTC